TAAAGAATTTAACATATACGAAACTATCGATGCTAGAATTGCTGATTGGAGTAAACATTTTGATATTTTACTTGGAAATTATGATTTAGAACGTTTACGCGCATTAATAGACTACCAAACTAAAACACTGACATTAAGAGCTTTTGATATTATCATCCCTTTCGACACCTTATATAACAAAATTCCAGTTAATATAAGTAGTGGCGAAATACTTTTCCCCGAAATTAAAATAAATAACATACAAATTCCCGAATCAATCCACAATGTTACAAACGGTTATATAGACGACATTTATCTCCCTAGCCCCGAACAATTAGAACCAATACAAGTAGAAAATTTAGATAATTATGAAATCTCAGAAGGTCCGATAAATTTTGACTCTTCAATAATTCGTACTCAACATTTAAATTTAGAGGAAAAAGAAAAAATTTTAAAATTATGTAAGAAATATAAAGACATTTTTTATGACGAAAAATCAGACTTAACTTTTACTTCAGCTATAAAGCATTCAATTAGGACACGGGATGAAAATCCTATTTATGTTATAGGATTTCGACATCCAAAGGTAATGCAAGAAGAAATTACCAGACAAGTTAATAATTTATTAGATAATAAAATAATTAGACCCTCAATTTCACCCTATTCAGCCCCTGTTTGGATAGTACCAAAAAAAGCCGACGCTTCCGGCCAGAAAAAATTCCGTATGGTAATAGACTATCGTAAATTAAATGACAATACAATTGACGACAAATATCCTCTGCCGAAAATTGATGAAATTTTAGACAATTTAGGCAAAGCAACTTATTTTACAACTCTCGATTTAGCGCAGGGATTTCACCAAATCGAACTTCACCCCAACTCTATTGAAAAAACAGCCTTTACAGTTCCTCACGGACACTTTGAATTTGTGAGGATGCCATTTGGGCTTAAAAATGCCCCTGCCACTTTCGAAAAATTAATGGATAACGTCCAAACGAAACAAATTTTGTTTCGTTTATATGGACGATGTAATTATATTTTCAAAATCCCTACAGGAACACCTCGTACATATTGCAACTATTTTTGAAACATTTCAAAAAACGAATTTAAAGGTACAGCTTGACAAATCTGAATTTCTTACAAAAGAAGTAGCTTTTCTTGGACATATAGTAACCCCCGAAGGTATAAAACCAAATCCCGCTAAACTAGAGGCTATTCAGAAATTTCCACTACCAAAGACACTAAAAGAAATTAAATCCTTCTTAGGACTTATAGGATACTATCGACGATTTATCCCAAACTTTGCAAAAATTACATCCCCATTTTCTCGTTGTACCCGAAAAGGAGCAGTTATCGACCCCAATAATTCACTTTATCTCGAATGCTTCGAAAAATGTAAGCAACTATTATCCAATGCCCCTGTTCTTCAATACCCAGATTTCTCTAAACATTTTGTTCTAACTACTGATGCTTCTAATATAGCCATTGGCTCGGTATTAACACAAGATAATCACCCAATCGCATATTATTCTCGAACTTTGAACTCCGCAGAACTAAATTATTCAACAACCGAAAAAGAGCTATTAGCAATAATCGATTCTTGTAAACATTTTCGCCCTTATCTATACGCTCAAAATTTCACTGTTGAATCTGACCATAATCCCCTTGTATGGCTTTATAAAATTAAAGATCCCACTTCCAGATTAGCACGCTGGAGATTAAAACTCGAAGATTATAATTTCGAGGTAAAATACAAAAAAGGAAAAGAAAATCAAGTAGCCGACGCCCTTTCTCGAGTACAGATAAATGCACTCGCCGGCATTTCTATGTGTGCCGAACCCCCAAATCTAAATGACTTGAATGACTTTGACCTCGACGAATTTTTTGAACAATTAAACGATAGACAACCCCCTAGTACTGATAACACGCAACACACTGCAGCAAAAAACCCAATTGCGGGAATTCCGATTTCGGAAGAACCCATTAACCTTTCAACAAATCAAATTATCTTTGTCCCTCAATGTAAAGAGTATGACGTAACTTATAAAAAATATTTAACAAACACAGACACACTGTAACCATTACCGATGACTGGATAATGGAAATTACTGACGCATTCAAAAGTTTACTAAGGCCAAATCAAAAATTTGCTATAAAAATACCTCACGAATTTAGACCTTTTGTTTGTAAATATTTTCGTGAATACATAGACACAACTGTTAAAGCTATATTTTGCAACACATTATTACAAGACATCGAAAACGAACAAAAACAAATAGAATGTGTACAAAAGTATCATAATGAAAATCATAACGGCATAGTAGAGACTTATAAACATTTAAGGCATCAATTTTACTGGCCCTCTATGCAAACAACAATCTGTAACCTCATTAATAAATGTGAAATTTGTCTAACAAATAAATATGAAAGACACCCTTACAAACTTCCACAATTAGGCCCTTTACTAGGACAGAAACCTTTTGACATAATACACATAGACATATTTCAGTGCAATAAAAATCTCTACCTGACAATAGTAGATTCTTTCTCAAAATACGCTCAGTGTTATAAAATTTCTGATAAAACTTCAATCTCAATATTAAGTAAATTAAGACATTATTTTTTTCAGCACAATTACCCCAAAAAAGTCGTATGTGACAACGGCAAAGAATTTAATTCTGCCTTAGTCATCGAATTTATGAAATTACATAAAATTGAAATTCATTATACCACAGTAAATAATTCATCATCAAACTCCCCCGTAGAACGATTCCACTCTACCCTACTTGAGAAACTTAGAACATTACGAAATCAAAACCCACAAGACCCCTTAGACGACACATTTACACATGCAGTATTAATCTATAACCAATCAATTCATAGTGCCACAAATTACTCTCCTTTTTCAATATTATACGGACCATATGCCGAAGAAATACATTTTGATTTTGATCTTCCCCTGTATGAAACATTGTAACAAGTGATGTTGGTTTTACTTACCGTGTTTTAGCTCAATTTTAATTAGGGCCGTGAGTAGCACTTACCCAGATAGCATTTGATATCCTATGTATATACCTCAGAGGTTCTGCTAGTGGACATGTCCTGGTGTATGTACTTAGAATATACATAACACATACATTAATGTATATACATTAAACAGACATATTATGTACCTACCTAGAGGTACATACGTTTTGTGAACATTCTACGAATATACCACTCATGAATATTTCTGAATATGCATTTAGTGTACATCCTACAAATATACATCTTATGACTATTCCGGAATATTCAGAGTGTGTACATCCTACAAACATGTAACTTATTAAGAATCAGTAATGTACATTTTGTGTATATCCAGAAAATATACCTTTTACGAATATTCCTGAATATGCATTTCGTGTATATCCAGAAAATATACCATTTACGAATATTCCTGAATATGCATTTCGTGTACATCCTGCAAATATACATCTTGTGACTATTCCGGAATATTCAGAGTGTGTACATCCTAAAAACATACCTCTTGTGAACTTTTCAAAACTTGCAATTTGCTTATATCCTACAAACATGTAACTTATGAACAATCAGTAATATACATTTTGTGTATATCCAGAAAATATACCTTTTACGAATATTCCGGAATATTCATTTTGTGTACATTCTGCAAATATACTTCTTATTACTATTCCGGAATATACAGAGTGTATATCCAGACAGACAAAAAACGTCTAACAACAAATGATTTTTATTCGTACCTACACAATGCCTACACAAAACAGAACGACAGAAGACAAAACAAAGTAAATTTTAGCGAATAACCAAGTTGAGATGTTAATATTTTGAACGGCAATAGACATATTTTTTATGTGTGATAGACGGAGACGGGACAGTTATCCTGTTACAAAAATAATGTTACTCGCGAAAATATAATAATTTTAGATTTCAGCAGCTGAACTCCCTAACTGGATGTGGATGTTTGAAATGGTACGAGTGTACGAGAACAATTCCTATGCGAAAATATACGACGTGACCACGTCTCGCTCTCTCAGATCCATACCGATGTGAGAGAGAGAAGTATAATTATTCTCCTACAATTCAAACATCAGTACTGGTCTGGCAATACAGGCATCTGCACTTATTTTTTCGGAGAAGACGTTGTAAATAAATTACTGCCGGTAGAGGTCGCGCCCATACAATTTATGGTTATTTTCCGTTTTTTTTTATTTTACAAATAAACAGGTAATGATTTAAATTCACAGAACACCTCTTCACTGTGATTTAGTTATTTAATTGTGTGAAAGTGATAACACTGTTTTAATTTAATTAACAACTGTGTAATAAATTTTATTAGTTGCGCCATCTATAGGATCACTAGCCCAATTATATACGTCTTTTACTTTGAGTAATTTGGCATGATCGTCGCGGCTGCGCAGACTGCATGACACAGTTCACTTCTTTGTGCTATGTGCTGTGCTGCGTCATATTTGCTCCATTTTGTTATTTTTGTTGGGTAATCTAAAGCAGAAAACCTAACCTATTTTTGTCTTGTGTCCCGCTTCCCGGCATTCGGCAATCCAGTTTTGTTAGTTAACTATGTATAGTTTTGTGTGGTATAAAAGCTAAATTTATAGAAAATAAATATAAGTGTAGCCATTTTAGGGATGTCTTATTGCCAAGAGCAAGACTACGATATCCCTTATAAAAGGACAAGCTGGGTAACTTGTCCTCTATACATAGCCCAAAAAAGAACAAAAAGAGTTTTGTGCGTGCTTTTTAGTTATTAGTATTGAGTAACTTCACTTGATAGGTATTTGCGAAATTTGGCAAGGTAAGTTTAAGGACTGAAGAGAGATTGTAGATTTTTTTTTATTTCTCTAACATATTTTAATACCACGTTTCTCGTTTTTGCAGATCCGTCACGCCAGTGTTTGTGTGTGTAATTGAATACGTGACTTCAATTCATACTTGCGATAAAGGTAAAGTAATTTTATGGCATTGTAGTTATTTTAATTTTAAATATGCAGAGAGTAACAAAAGGTATCATTAAAAGATCAACTACAGCTTCAAAGAAGCTCATTAAAAAAAGTGCTGCTAAAAGAGTACAGGGCATACTAGCTCTGTACAACAATAGAAATGCAGAACCAAGTCAAAAAAAAGCATTAAGACCTAGAACGGAGTCCAGCAGAAGTTCAGGGTCTGAGTTTGTCTCCGTGATTTTAGATTCAGATAATTCTCACCAAAGCTCAGTTAGAGATGGAGATATTCCAAATGTAATTCCTTCTTCAATAGATCAAATGATTAATAGTGCAAGTACATCTCATGATCAGGCAGTTTCTACTGAAAGTTCTAATTTCAGTTCACAGTTAGCCAAATGGTCTGTAGAGGAAAACATTTCTCTGTCGGCATTAGGCAAGTTATTGAAACTGTTAAGAAGTAATTTTCCTCTTTCTCAACTAAAAAATTTACCAAAAGACCCTCGGACTTTGTTACAAACACCAATTAACACCAATATTAAGCAAATGGGATCTAATGGTTGTTATTATTATTTTGGAATACAGGAAAGTGTAACAGATCTGTTTAACAAAATTACAATAAAACTTTCTTTATCTGATGAAATTTCACTTGCTGTCAATATTGATGGGGTTCCTTTATTTAAAAGTACCAACGAATCATTTTGGCCCATTTTGTGTACCATTAAATCTGTAAAACTTTTAGAAAAACTAGTTTTTTGTGTAGGTCTCTATAAGGGTAGTGGAAAGCCTGAAGCTAATGATTTGCTTAAAGATTTTGTTAATGAATGTATTCATTTATATCAGAATGGTGTAATAGTAAATTCTCAAATACATAAATTTAATATTTCCATGATTATATGTGATGCACCTGCTAAGGCATATATTCTCTATGTTAAAAGCCATTCTGCATATTTTTCCTGTACAAAATGTTCTCTAGAAGGTGACTTTTGTTGTAATACCTTATGTTTTCAAGATTTAGTTTTTCGTAAACGATCAAATGAATCTTTTCGAAACAAAGAACAACCAGAACATCATACTGGAAACACAGTGTTAGAAAATTTGCCAAATTTTAATATGATTAATAATATTCCAATTGATTATATGCATTGCATATTGTTAGGTGTAGTAAAAAGGCTCTTATGTAATAAAAAATTTGGATGGGTTTTTGGTAAACCTCCAAATAAATTGCGGGCATCAGATATTTATTCTATAAGTAATCAATGTTTACTATTAAAAAAATTTATTCCTTGTGAATTTGCACGTAAACCACGTTCATTAGTGGAAAGTAAAAGGTTTAAAGCTTCAGAATTTCGACTTTTATTACTTTATACTGGTCCAATTGTGTTCAAAAATGTTTTATCATCTGAATCATACAATAATTTCATATGTCTTAGTGTAGCAACCCTTATTCTAGCAAGTAACGAATTGTATAATATCGAATCCTATTTTGAATATGCCCATAAGCTTTTTGAACATTTTATATCTAATTCCATTAGAATTTATGGTTCTCATTTTATATCTTACAATGTTCACAATCTTCTACATTTGAATGATTGTGTAAAACTGTTTGGCCCTCTTGATAGTTTCAGTGCTTTTCCTTTTGAAAATTATATGCGACAAATAACAAGGAAAGTCCGTAAGACTAGCAAGCCTCTTCAACAAGTTGTTCGTAGAACTTATGAAGAAAGGAATATATATGCTTCAAAATTAGACTTAAATGAACACAGAAAGTTTACGATTGAACATGATTCTGGTCCATTATTAGTAAATTGCCATTCTCCCCAATTTAAAGTACTGGTCACTGAAAAATATCGTTTAAATGTAGCTAAGATATGTGATCGATTTGTTGAACTTGATAATGGAACAACAATTGAAATTAAAAATTTTGCAACTAATCAAGGAAATATCGTTGTGATAGGCTTAGTTTGTACAAGAAAAGGTGATTTTTTTTAAAAAACCATGCCCTTCATCACTATTTGGCATCTCATTTATTAAAAAAGTTAACAATGAACTTAATATGTTTAAAGCCTCAATGATTAAAAAAAAGATTATGATTTTGCCTTTCAAAAATGAATTTATTTCATTTCCATTATTGCATATGTAAGGTGCAGAGAAATGTAAAATTTGAAGGTAAAGTTCCGTATTGTCTATTAACTAATTTATGTTTATATACAGGGTGATCGATTAGTGTTATAGTCATATATCTTCGGTATAAGAAATACAAAGAAAAGTTTCAAATAAAAGTTATATGATCTACATTGCTGTACCTTTGGAAAATAATTCTAAATGTATAGGGTGCTTCATATTACCGCGAGATAGCCTTAGGATTTTGTTTTAGATGGAACATCCCGTATATTTTTACATTTTTGGATTATACTGGATAAGCTGATTCAAATGAACTATCACACTCTGGGTCTAAAGTGAGTCGATTGAGAGGTATAAACAATTGAAAATCGCATTTTTCAACTTTAAACCACTTTCACACCAAAACTGTTAAAGTTAGCGCAAAACGGCTTTCATGTTCCTATCTTAACTTTTCAAGTATGATGGTTTGAAAAGAATATCATACCTACAGGGTGATAAAAAAATGCGGTTTTTTTAACACCTTATTTTTTTTAAAACCATCAGACAATACTTGAAAAGTTAACATAGGAACATGAAAGCCATTTTGCGCTAACTTTAGCCCTTTTGGTGTGGAAGTGGTTTAAAGTTAAAAAAATGCGATTTTCAATTGTTTATTTATAGCTCCCAATGAACTCACTTTAGACCCAGAGTGTGATAGTTCATTTGAATCAGCTTATCGAGTATAATCCAAAAATGTAGAAAATACGGGATATCCCATCTAAAAAAAATCCTAAGGCTGTGTCGCGGTAATATGAAGCACCCTATATATTTAGAATTATTTTCCAAAGGAGCAGCGATGTAAATCCTATAACTTTTATTTAAAACTTTTCTTTGTATTTCTTATAATAACGAAGATATTAATGACTCTATCACACTAATCAATCACCCTGTATATAGTATTAATATCATTTATGTGTATTTCTATTTTTTTTATGTATATTAAGGTTTTCCTATTTAAATAAATATCTATTTCATTCATTTTTTTAAAATTTGTTGGGTATATTTTCAGATGATTATAATATTGCAAAAAAAAAGGCTGCCAAGGCACAAGAGACTAGCGATTTATCCTCAGCATCTGATCTTAGAGGCAGGGGATGCAGAACAATGAAAAAAACCACAAGAAGCTGCATCATATCAAACAAATGATAGAGGTCCATTAGCAGAGATACTGCTTATATTACCTCTAAAAGATGAGGAGGATTTGAAGAAAACTGAGGAATGGCTATCTGAAGAACCAAACGAGAAGTTACTAGTAATTAGTTTCTGTATATGTTTCTTGTGGCATGTTTAGTTTTTGATTATTTGTTGGGAATACTTTTATAAAATAAACATCTCTTTTTTCCTGCATGGGTTTTATTATATTTTATCAACAAACAGTATAAAAATCTGAAGAATAATTTTGTTTTAGATCAATGAGCTCTCAAGAATTGGAGGTGGTTCAACAGTCCAAACAACAAGAAAAATTATGTATCGCCTCATCTCAAATAAATTGGGAATGAAGTTTTCATGGGAAGGAAAAAAAATAAAAAAACATTTAAACATCTGAAGTTGTCAACAGTAATTTTAGGTTAATATAAATATTATTTAGTAAAATACTGTGATTTTTACATATTTACTAGAAAAAAATTATATCTTTATTTTTTTAGAGAGCGTTAAAAGGTTTAAATCCCAATCCACAGAAACTGAAATTATCAATACCATAAAATTATGGTTGGTGAGAAGTAAAGACCGCCATGAAAACTCCGAGAAAAGACAGCTTGATGAACAAAACGTAAGATTGTTTATATTTTTAAATTGAATAACTAATATCAGTATTCCCTAATTACAAGAACTAACCCATTTAATTTTGATAACTTTATTTGTCCTAAGTAATCAGTCATTTTAGGTTTAAATGAGCTGACTGAATATACTTATTAACTAATATTCACCTATTTTAATTCATATTCAATATTTTTAATGTGTGTAAACTTATTTAATTCAATTTTTTATTTTTAGGTTGAGACTGCAGTTGAGAATTAAGAAATTAGGAAAAAAATAAAAATTGTTTTGGCTGTTTTTAAAAATAAGTTTTAATAAAAAGTATATGTTTCTTTAAATGACACACAATATATATTTTTAAATTGTCCTTTTTATCCTGATACCTGACTTATAATTTAGATCATTATCAGTTTTGTAAATTTTGAAAAATCTATTGGTGTAAAAAGTACATTATGAAGTATACATAATATATATGTATATGTGTGTGTTCTGGGTAGATTCCTTTAGTAAGTGCTATATAGGTAAACCTGACATAATATTTTTGAGAAGTGTGTACATAATATAGGTACTATGTAGATATATTTGAATTTCATACGTTCACTTATCTACAGAGTAATTCATTCTTATGTTCCAATGATAGAAAAAAGTTAAATATAAATTATTTAGGTACCTATTCATATTAACAATTGTATGTACATAGCTCTTACCTATAGGAATATACCTTGAATATACCTAGAAGGATGTTTTTAATACATGCATAGTATATACTGGATATAACAGGTACATACATGGAATATATATCAAATGAATGTAGTTAGATGTACATACCATGTATGTACATTCACATGTACATATACACATCCATGGAATGTACAAAAAGGGGAATAAGGTACATACCATGTATGTCCTTTGAATGTCCACAATGATAATTAGGTACATTCCAGGTATATACAAATTCATAGAAAGTATGTTCATAAGATATACCTGGTATGTGAAAATGCTATCTGGGTAATAACCTTGATAAAACTTAACTATAGGAAAGGTATGGAGGGCGCCACCAAACTTACATAAACATATCATTTAAGGTGAATTATAATAGTTTGGCAAATATAATTAATATGACTGATGTTAAAACAGAATGTATATGTTTATGCAGGCAAGTGACAATTACAATCTACACAAGCCATGATTCATTTAAATTACTTCTTTATTTAATTTTTTAAAGATAAAAATGAAACTTATCTCAAAGTAGGAATGGTGTAGGTCTTCAATCTTTTCAAATAAGGACGGTCTCCTACAGCGATGAGTCTTCTTCTAAATATAAATTACCATGTTTCTAACCATAACTTCAACTGTCTTCTAACCATTGATTAACATATTTTCAACTGTCTTCTCAGCGTTTGTTTAAAAAAATATTTTAAACTATGTTCTCAGAGTAGTTGTAAAAAAAACATCCAAACGTTGACTTATCTAAAAGATTGAGACCTTTTTGAAGTTTACGTAATAAGGAAAAATAAGGAACAAGGAGGTAAGATGTTTCTGAACACATAATGAATAAAAAATAATCTTTACAGAAATTAATGACACGTTCTAAAACATCTAACCTCACATTTTTAACAACTAAATAAATCTCGATCCATTTCGTTAATCTTTGCAGAAATCTTGTAAATATTAATCTTCTACTCACCATGAAATACTGATGGTTCTCACCACTAATAAAAATATCACATACTGTTTAAGATTGCTTAAATATTAGCAGATTTAATAATCTCGACTGCCTCGTTCTGAGGTATTATTGTAAAAGACTTTTTCAAGTAATACCTGTCGAAATTCACTTTCGATCCGAACATAAAACTTTTAAAAAACAAAAAATAACTATATAAAATATTTGTAGCGAAAGAATGAAACTATCGGTCCTAATAGAGATGGGACAATCATTCTAAAAATATAGTTATAAAATATTAAGAAATACCGGTACTAGAAGAGTAACCGTTACAACATACAATCAAAGACATAAGGATGAACTTCGTCCTTTCATAACTGACTTATACAACAAACAAAAAGAAAAAAGACAGAAAATATTAGAAAAACAAAACGAAAGTGCCGAAACCGTACCTGAAATAGATCTTACACAAACCCTTTATGTAACTAAGAAAAAACATAGGCCAAAATTAAATGCCCCTTATTCTATTATACACCCTAAAAAACAAATTAACACAAAAATTATTGGTAAAACTAATAAACAAAACGACACAAGTACTCATTTAAAATTTGCTAAAAGAATTCGAAAAATAAAAAATAAAAATTTTCAAGACGATACTTATTTACAGGACAATCCTCTCCCTGGGACGTCAGGGACAGCTTGTCAAAATTCAAGTGATTCCGAATAATGGATATTACGCTGAAGAAATTGGCAAATCCCGAGAGATTTCACATTATCATAGACACATTTTACACATTGACCTACAAAAACTAGAAGAAACTTTAGATATCAGCCTTAACGACTATAAAATACACAACCGGAAATCCTGACGACTCTGACTTAAATTTACTAAAGACTCACATTACCGCAATAGAAGTTAAACAAAATGAAATAATAAAAAAATTTAATAATCAAATCTCATTTGGCCAATCTATTGATACGAGATTCAATAAACTTTTAGAACAAGTAACTAAAAATAATAGAGCCCTTTTACTAGCAATTAATAAATTATCAGCTGATTTTGATGGATACATTACCCTACATAATGAAATAATAAATCTTCAAAACATTAACGAATTTCTTATGAAACTTATTCGGACAATTACCCTTTCACATTTAAATTTGTCAAATATAGAATTATTTACTCTTAAAGAACTCGAGGACTTAAAAGAAAACCTTATAAAAATTTACTCAAGAAATGCCCTACTCGTCGATGACGAACACCCATATGAACTTATCGAATCATCTAAATCTCTAGTTTGCGTCACACCCAATACAATGCTCATAATTCTCAAAATCCCAATCCTCCACGTTAACGCTTACCCCACCTTTAGAATTTATCCTATCCCTAATAATGATCACATAATGGTTTTGCCTCCTGCACACTATTATGCCAATAGCAAATGGTATGAAACATGTACCGGCCAAGCAGATTACACTATATGTGCCAAGTCCGTGAAGTCCAGATGCCTCATCCCTAATGTTCAAAATTGCACCAAAACATTGATCACAGAGAACTTTTCACAGGAAACCCGAAAAGTAATTTTATTGGGAATAGTCCACCCAATAATAATAAATCAACAAGAAATCCGAAAAAGCAGCATCCTGTTGTCAGATGAACCTATCGACATAGAAGGAATTCACTATGATAAGAAAACTATTCAAGAAATCGCCATTCCAGAAGTCATCCCAATTAGACTAATTCCAGAACATAAATTAAAAATTGAAAAATTGAATATTCCAGAAAGCCACGGACAACTCCAACCAATAGAGCCAATAGCACTTATGCCACAAATTTCAACAGGACTCAGCACTGTCGCCCTTATCCTTATAATTTCTGTTTCAGCCATCCTTTTTACTATCGTAGTAAAGAAAAAGAAAAGAATATCAAAAATTCTTTTTGGGCCCAAACTACAACCAGCACAAATCCAGGTTCTTCAGGAGCTACTCGTAGAGACTTCGAGGACGAAGCCAGGACCAAAGGAGGGAGGAGAAATGTGATAGAAACCCACCGTTCAATGCCCGGAGTGCCTCGTCAGCAAAGTCAGCGCTTTGCACCTTGGCGACAATGAACCCGAGATTATAAATACCATGTCAACGTGGGAATCAACGTTCTTTTTATTTTAATCACTTACGATAAACATTGTTAATTAAAGATCCATTTTGTATAATTTTTAAATAAATAAAGTTTGCTTTTTTTTGGAAACTTAAAGTGTTGTTAACTTAACTATATACTTGGTTAATTATACTTATATTTGTTGTTCCTTTAATACAATAAATACAATTTATCTATCTCCAATTCATCACTTTTCGTATCCATATACCTAGGGTCCGATAACAATTAGAATAACATCGCTACGTCATAACTATTATTTCGAATTTCCAACATATATCATCTATAACTATCAATAAATAAAGAATATTTGAGTTGTTTGGTTTACAAATAGTATTTCTACATTCCTATAATATTAACAAGCCACTAAACCCCCAGTAGGCGGCGATAGCCAATTACTTTGCCAATTGATGATAATATACCTGTGTTCATGTAATTGTAATCGGACCCTACCTAATCCTATGATTATTATTCGTGGTCAGCGCACGGCACACGACGTTGTCAAATTTATGTAGCGAACCGGGTTCTAAATACTTTAATACCACCAAACTAAAAACAGAAGTGCGGTTGTTAGATCCGTGCGGTGTGACGTCAGAAGGAACTGGATTGCTCTTAAGAACCTTTTAACATTAATTTTTTTTAATTACAATAGGTTTGTGCCTGCTAATTTTTGTATTTTTATTTATTATCGGATTGTTTTAGCTTTGCAGATTATCTCTTAACCTTCTCGATATTATTGGGTTGAGAGCGCTTGAGAAGTTTCTAAAAATTTTCTAAAATTTACATTTAATTCCACGTTTCTGAATATTTTTAGTCACAGCAGTCAATAGCAACAAGACTTAGCGCGTAAGAATTTAAACGAGTACTTCTTCAAAAGTGGCGCGCCCTACCGGCAAAAAGTCTGTCCCCCAAATTGATGCTTCATTCAACATTACGTTCGGACTCCTTATATCTATATTTCGTCGACGGCCGGGTGAGGTTGGTTTGTATTTCAAGTTGCCTACTCGATCATTTGGATAACAACAGCCTATCATATCTGCTGCGCGTAGCTACTTGTGACCTTGTGAGTTGTGAGCGGCGGGACTTACATAAGTCGTTTTATCATCTTTTATCTACGCTTGGTTGCGCAGTTCTTTTGTTTTTCGTTAGCCGGTAAAAGTGTTTAGCTCACACAATAAGAACAATAAGACGGAACAAATCATGCAAAAGTAGTAATAGGTACCGTTATTTTTTTGCTGCAATTAGAAAAGTAGGATAAAAACAGAAGTTTTCCTGTTTCGTATTGGATGTTGTAGACGAAGCGCCCTCAATGATTCTGTTGAGATTGATTTTTTATTGAAATTTTATTTCACAGGTACTCATTATTTTTATTCGTTATTGTTCTGTTGTAAAATCATCCATAATAAATTATTTATAGCGCTCATAAATAGTTTATCTGAGTAATTAATCAATACTTTATTTTGAAAAATATTTCTTTATCTACTAATTATGGTGTACTTTAAGATGGGTGAAAACCAGCAAAGATAGTTTAAATTAGTGGTGGATAACTATCGATAGTAGGCACCATCGATAGTCATCGATAGTTTTCGTATTAACTATCGATACTATCGATAGTTTTCGATATTTGGAAAAAAAGTGGAAATACCTTAGATGAAACTACTAATTATTGTCATACACTATCAATCAACATAAAAATAAAAGACCATTTGAATTTAAGATTTTAATTTCGAAGGTAATGAACAAACTAAGTATAGTAATACATCTTAACATTTTATAAAAAACCGTTATTATTAAACATTTTGCTTTTTATTTTATCCATTTTTTATTTTTGAGTACTTAGAATAAAATAATTATTTATTATCGGTTTATTTTTCAACTAACCAGTTGTTTTTATTTATAAAAACCAACATGTCGACATTTTTTGGTTTTAACCTCGATCTTCTGTCCGTGACTATTTGTCCTGTCTTGCTGAATACCCGTTCAGATTCTACTGATGACGCTGGAATGCAAAGATATTTCTGGGCGAGTTGTTTTAGAGATCTGAAATCATTGGCGTTTACCTGAAATAGCGGAAGTTAAATATGCGAAAATGAATTTTAGGCCAATAGCAATACCTTCCAAAATAGAAGTGGTTCTGTATCTAGAGATGAATTCTGACGTTCCATGTATTGTCGTTTGATTATGATTACATCAGCTGTTGTCGATTTTATTTTCTGTTGAATTTTAGTATCCATAAATGAGAACAGAGAGCCTGAACCTGAAAAATTTGAACTGCTACCTTGGATAGTATCTTCTCCATTGAATGGAATATTTGAATTTCCCGTAAGTTCTGCCTCCTTTCTTTCCACATAGTTCATTTCCTGTTCCAAAAAATGTGATGCCGATTTGATATTTTCCTCACTTCTAAAACCATCATGTTTAAATCTAGGGTCAAGTAATGTTGCCATTTGAACAGCTGTTCTTTTCTCGTATGGAAACAAACGCTTTTGTACAGAGTGCAGCAATTTCAAAAAAATTTCTTTTCCTTCATCGGTTTGCAATTCTCGTATTTTGTCTTGCAATGTTTTGTGGATTCCATTAATAATTGGAATAACAAGCGAAATTGTTACATATTTAGTGCCTGAAACTTTTGTTGTCGCCTCGTCGAAACATGCCAAACAACTTCTTTCAAAATTATTATTTCTTCTGCAGCCAGAGGTTGAGGAGCTTTAGGCATTTTCAGCAGTGTTCTGTTGACAGGGTCGCTTGTTTCCAGAATTCTTTTTATCATTTGAAAGGCGCTATTCCAGCGGGTGGTCACCTCCTGCATTAGCTTAAGAGGAGTGTCGGTATTCTGCTCCTGTTTGAATATTTCTGTGGCAACATTGCTGCTTTTCATGAACCTCACTATCTCTTTGCATTTTGCTATAATATCCTTAAGGGGACTTATACTGGTAGTGTCTTGGACCACTAAATTAACTGTATGGGCAAAGCAGGGAAGACTTTTTTTTTTCAAAAGTTCACAGACCTTTAACATGTTTGCAGCATTGTCTGTTACAATGCACGATATTTTATTTTGTATATCCCACTCAATAAAAATTGCATTTAATGCAAATGCAATATTTTCTGCAGTATGGTTAATACCATTTTCCAATGGTTTTGTCGAAAGCACTGAAGACTTTATTTCGAAATCATTGGTAACAAAATGGCACGTTACAGTCAAATATGATTCAGTTGCCCGTGATGTCCAAGAGTCAGAAGTGATAGCGACATAATTCACATTTTTCAAAATTTCTTTCAGTTTCTGACAAGTATCACTGTACATTTCCTTCATTATTTTTTCCCTAATTTTGAATTTACTTGGCAGGATATATCTAGGATCTAGCAAACTAACAAAATTCGTGAAGCCAGTGTCATTCACTATGTTGAATGGTTGCAAATCGGTGGCAATCATTAATGTTAGTGCCTTGTCGAGTTGTTTTTTTCGTTTCGAGCTTTCGCTGTATTCATTTTCTCGCTTGAAGAAAGGACTTATTGACCTGTAAGAAGAACGAGTACTAGAACCTCCAGAAGTGGATGTAGACGCACTATTGTTTTCAGCAGATTCCCTGTCTATGTCTACTACATTATTTACTAGGTTGGGATGAAATCTTTTTAAATGGTCACTTAGATTTGTCGTATTGCCGCTTGTTTTGTACTCTTTTCCACAATTTAAACTTTTAGCATACATTTTGTCATGGGACGATTTAAAAAAATTCCACACTCTTGACAGTTTTGGCCTTTTAGGTCTTCCATCTTTTGTACCGACATTGGTTTTGGCACCTTGGCCAGCTTGAAGGGTATCCACAGTATTTTCGGCTTGTGCTTCGACTACTTCAGCTTGAGTCTGAACTGTCTCAGCTGGAGTTCTTTGATGATGCTCTGGCTCACTATTAGTGGATTCTCCTAAAATAAAAGTGTCATGATCATGATGTAAATTTGTGAATTATTAAATATTAGTATTAGGTTAGGTTTACTTAATGTTAAACTAAGCAAGCCTTTAACATTAATTTCAAAACATATTAGACGAAATTCTAATCTGGAAAGATAATATTAATGGCTAATGACTACTACTACTCTACTACCATAAAGGTGGATTTTCAATTGAATTTTTTCGGGGTTGTACCTAACCTACTTACCACTATTTCTGTTCCGTTTAGATGAAGAATCCTTGCGGGAAATACTCAAAAAATTCTCCATAGTCACACGTGACAGTTTTGCACTTGAAAGTTAAAACTTATGATTCAGTAAACACAATAATCTAAAAATCCTTTTATCAATCAACTTTTTTGCAAGTTGAAAAAAGTGAGGTTAGATTGATTGAATAGAGATGGGTGCCCACCACAAGATTATCGGTAGTGTAGAAAATACTATCGATAGTATTCGATAGTTGAAACTATCGATAATATCGATAGTTCTATCGATAGTTCTCCACCACTAGTTTAAATGAAGAAAAAGACGAAAATAAAACAGAACTAAATCCCGAGTCAGACCACGAAGGCCACATATCAAAGTCTCCTGTTGCAGGTATATCAGGGACTTCCCAAAGAAGTCTTAGTATCTATGAAAAATCAAGTAGTATAAATAAATAAAATATAGTATAAATATTACCAATGATGAAGAAATGCTAGATGAAAGTATTGCTGAGCCATCTATATCTACCAACACAACCTCAAAAAGATATATGCAGAGAATAAATTTAAGTAAACTAAAAGATAAATTTAATTGGTTGGACAGAGATGTCTTCTTTGTTTTGCAAAACATGCAATCTAAAAATTTCATTTAAAAAGGCATGAGAAGTCAGGTTCGCACCAAAGAAGCACAGAAGCGGCTAAAATTACTCAACAGATCACCACAATTTTAGCTAATCCGGCAAAACAAAAAATGGAAAATTTTGTTAAAGAAGCAGAATTGAGAAAGAGTGCATATTTATGTGAACATAATTTAGCATTTCTTTTGTCTGATACACTGCCCCCGTTTCTACAGAATATTTTCCCCGACTTGGCCATCGCACAAGAAATGAGTGCTGTCAATTAAGGTAATTTCTTTTATGATTTTTCTATAATTTAATTGCATTTTTGAGTTATCGTTAACTAATTATGTTTATCTACATTATGATGTAAATAAAAACCAGATATATTGATCACAAGTAAGTAGTCCCATTGAAAATTTTGAAGTAGAAGGTGCTGGGGATGAGGAGGTTGACAACACAATGATGATGTATTTGGTGAAAGTGTTCCCCCTTGAAATAAAAATCGACGGGTCTGAGCGATTTTCAATTTTTTTCACGAGTTCGGAGATTAGGGGGGGTGACAAGTTTTAGCTGGGACACCCTGTATATTTCATAAAGTTCTACAATTTAATAATATTTTTCGTATTGTATATTATTATTTTACCAGTAGTCGGCCCTAAGTAAATATTGATCAATGCGACTGGTTGACTTTTGGTCTCAGCGACTCCTGTATTCAACCTTCCCAAATGTATACCTGTTTTTTATAAAACAGTAGGTAATCGTATTCAATAATGTATTAAATAGTTAAAATAAACTGGTAGGTAAGTATATTGACACAATGCTTTTTTATACAGGACGTCATTATGTCTCAGAGGCCGATTCATAGATATACCGAACAGAAATTCGCACAAGCAATGGTAGCGATTCGAAATGGTATGAAAATCAGAAAGGCAAGTCGCGTTTATGGTGTTCCAAGAGGTACTATCCAAGACAGAATACATTTAAGGGTGTCTGAAGGTCCTCGAAAAATGGGCCCAGATTATCTACTTAGCAAAGAAGAAGAAACTGCCATTGCAAATTGGTGCATAGCCCTTGCAAAATATGGATTTCCATTAAGGCCAGATGATTTTTTAAACACCGTTCATAATATAATAAAAGAAGACAATAGACCTAATCCATTTACAAATAATCGTCCCGGTAAAAAGTGGTACAGCTCTTTCCTCAAAAGGAACCCTGAACTGTCACACAGAACTCCAAAAGACATTAAAAGGCCGAGCTGTAACAGAAGAGAGCATTTGTAAATGGTTTAATACTCTACAAGCGTATTTGCATTCAAATCATTAAAGGAAAGGAAAAAGAAGCAGTTACTGTCCTTTTTTTCTCTGCCAGTGGAAGAATTTTGCCTCCCTGTGTTGTTTTCCCGTACATTAGACCACCAAAGGACGTAGTCAACAGCATGCCAAGTGATTGGTTTTTGGGAAAGTCCGATACAGGCTGGATGAAATCGGAAATCTTCTATGATTGTATAACTAAAGGTTTAGATAAATGTATGGTAGATAATAGTATAAAGAAACCAATTCTAGTTTTGGTTGACGGACACAAAAGTCATTTGACTATGAATTTAAGTCAGTACTGTTCTGATAACAATATAATTCTTTATTCACTTCCACCAAACACTACACATATCGCCTAGTGAGAACATTAGTGACCTAATTCCGAATATGTTGATCTAAGATAAACGCGGTTAAAGTTTGTACAAAAATTATTATTTATTTTTTTTTTGGCTAGACGTTTGGAGCTATCTTACCGATTTTTTCTCTCTAAATTTTAAATATCTTTAAGTTATAATGTAACAGGTTTTTTTTAAGTAAATTAATATTAATAATGTTACATTCGTCAGTATTGCCTTCGAAGGTGAAAATAAAAATACCAAGCATTACTGACAACTACAGCCACCGAGCGGACAGTAGTAGAACTATAATTTCGCCAGTTATGTACCAGTTGCGGGCTACATTAAGCAATTTTTTGAAGTACACAAGTCAAAAACGTGTATTTTTGAGTTACGTCACTGATGTTCTCACTAAACGATATGATGCATGCCAATGTCAGCGTTTTTAAACCACTTAAGACAAATTGGAAGGATACAATTCGTAAATGGGCGACACGTCCTGAAAATGTTAACACTGTAATAACGAAATCTACATTTTTTTCTACAAAAGAAAATGTGCCTACAGTTATTAAACAAGGGTTTCGTAAATGTGGTCTGTATCCCTTCCAACCAGATAAAGTAGACTATACCAAGTGTGTCCAAAATAATTTAGAAAAAATACAAAATAAAAGCAGAGATAACTCTAAAGGCTTGGTTTTTATGAACATTCCGTCATGAACTTTGCCGACGAAGTTCGTCGACGGAATGCGTTCGCGAAGTTCGCCGTATTTAAAAATGTACTATCCAAACCGTCCGTTTTTTAAAACCTGTTGCGCGTTTATTTTTAACGGAATGCGCTGGCGTTGTCCGTTGGAATCAAAACATATTTGGTTTTAGCGCAGTTCCGCTGTCAGTTCTTGTTTGAAATTCGTGAGGTATGGACATTAAAATTATAAAAAATGCCCAATAAAAGTTATCAACAGCTCCAATTTTCCAACGAAGATGAGGAGACATTGATAGATCTGGTGAAAAAAACCCTCCTTCGTATGGTGTCAAAAACAAAAGTTACAGGTACATACAATTAAAAGAAAATATATGGAAAACAATTGCACATGTATGGACAGCACCAACAGAGATCAGTTTTCTATCTATAGTTACCTTCACCAACATACTCCAGACATTCTTCTAGTAGCGCAGTTACATCACCGTCTGGTACCATACCACATACACACCACATACGGCAATTTTTCAGTGGAGGCACAACCTCCACTAGGTGATACAATCGAAGATACAATTACATTAGCAGAATTCACTATATTAAAGTAGTTATTACGGAACCTTTTTTGACAATTATTTATTTAATTTTCTATTTTGCGTGTTGTTAAGTTTGCTTGTAAATTGAAAAATATTTTTGGTTAATTTTACTTATGGTGTAATTGGTTTTGTATGCCTATTGCAAGGTTTCGTTTCTATATCATTTCTAATATAACTTAGAACTTCATCAAATAAAACTGGCGTCAATAAAAAATATTCTCGAAATTTTTCTTAATTTTAAATAAATGTCGTTTAATTAGTACTTCATAGGCTCCTTCTGATTGTCTTGTTTTAACTCGTCTTCTTCATCAGCAAATTCTTCCTCTAATAAAAGCTGTAAAAAACCCTCCATAGCCACAGCACAGATTGTAAACTTCTTATTTGCGTACTGAAATTGATCATTTCCGTCCAATTAAACGGTCTTCTTAAAAAACACGGTGTCGTACGAACTTTGCGAAAGGAATTCGCGAACGCATTCTGTCGACGAACTTCGTCGGCAAATTTCGCGACGGAAGGTTCTTAAAAACCAAGGCTTAAGTCACCATCCAAAAAAGCATTACAAAAAAAGACTTTGAAATTTTATTAAAAGTTATCAGCCATTTACAGTCGAGTGCGCCGACTTTCATTTAATACATGATTTAGTAATCCATGATTATATTTTAATCCTGGATTTTAATTGTAACTTGTGCTCCGTCGTGTACTCTGATCAGATTAGTTAATCCACAAATGTAAGTGGCAACATTGCAAATTTTAAGTAAATTTTGTGTTTAAATGTTGTTCTTCTTTGATTTCTTTTTACTTTACGGTTAGATTAAGGTCGTACGTCTACGTCAAACCTCAACTTTTATGGTTATACTTTTACATGTGCTTTCAAAAACCTTTTATAATTTTGCCTTTGTTTTACTTTTTATTTGGATAATTTGCTATTGCTTGCTGCCGAAAATTCTGTTTGCTGAAGTTGTTCACTTGTTCATTTATATTGTTGATATTACATTGTACGTTGTAGTCCATAGAAAAATTTGTAGTCATGGAAAATGGGAAAAAACGAGTGAGATCATCAAATTTTTCAGAGCAGGATAAAGTGTTACTAATTAGTATAATTAGTAATTACAAAAACATCATCGAAAATAAATGTACCAACCTGGTGACAACCAAAGCAAAAAATATAGCATGGCAAAAGATTTGCGACACTTTTAATGCTGCTTCAGGTAGAGGAAGAAGTGTGCAGTCTTTACAAATTTTTTATAAAAACAAAAAAAAAGATGTACGACAGAAAGTGGCAGACGAAAAATGTAGCACTAAAAAAACAGGTGGAGGACCATCAAAAGTATTTCAAAGAGACCAGACGGAGGAACTAGTGCATTCCTTAATGAATATTAAAAGCATTTATGGATTACCATGTTCGCATGATTCAGATGCAATATCATCATCTCTTGAAGCTAATAAAAGTGATTTATTCAACCCAATTGAATTTGAATATATAAACAATGAAGATTTGGAGATGAGTAATAATGTAAGTATATGATCTTTATTTCTTCATTACAATTATTATTACCTTAACATGTAAACCTTCTAGCTCCATACGTAATAATTTTACAGTAAAAGCATTTAGATATTAGAAGAAAAAACATGAATTAGATAATTAGGTACTTTATTTAAAGGAAGCTTTTTAATAAAGACCTAATGATCTAATTCATTTTATTTCTTCTAATATCAGTAATAACTAAATGAAACGGTTTTTGCTTATCCTGTAAAATTATTACGTGTGGAGTTAGAAGGTTTACATATTAAGGTAACAATATACCTTATTTCTTAATTTACATTGCAACATTAATATATCCTCTATTTGCTATTAGAAGTCTCTAACTCCCAAAAGCTTTCAATTAGAGTATGAATTTGTTTTAAGTAACTTCTTTCAGCAAACTGAAGATTGTTTTATCGGAGTTGCTTGATGTAAAATGTAACCTTATACATAATTACTATTTTATTTAATAGGAAATTATATTAAATACAAACGATACAGAAACTAGAAAATGTCCAAGAAAACCAGGGTCAAATCAGTGAAACCCTTGATCATGAGAATATACCAAATGTAAGTGAAACTGACATTTTATATATTAAAGAATATTTTACTAATGTTGAAGTATGGCTTCTGCAATCAATTTTTTTCACTGTTTATATTTGCAAAATACATACTAGGGATCTAAAAGAAAATGTTTTAATAAGGTAGGTTCTATTAATTATATATTTTGTTTCAAAAAAATTTATTGAAATGTAACTTTCTTCACAATGAAACATTGATGGCGGCAGATTTTTACTCTACTATTACATATTTAATATGGTACTAAATAAAATTTATTTATTTTAGGATAATACTCCAAAGATAAGGACTGTTAATGTCGCTCGTCGTAGGCCTGCCACAGTAGTTAAAGCATTAACAACAAATGATTTATCTAAAAAATATAATCTCCTTTTAGATAAAAGGTTAGAAATAGCCGACTTTCAAAAGAAAGGTTTAGAAAATCTTAATAAGGAGCACGAAAAAAGGATGATATTGTTAGATTTAAAGATTCAGAATGAACAGAAGAGATTGAAAACTAATGCCAACAATGAACAATATTTAGATTCATCTGATGACGAATAAAATCACAGTATTATCCTAAGCACCAGTTTAGTTTAAAATTTCTTCTATTTTGTCTTTTTTTATATAAAATAAATATTTTGAGCTGAGTTGGTTTTTTTATACTATAATAAAAAACGTATAATTTACAAATTAAAATGATTTTCTATCAAATCAAGTTGAACAATATTAACAGCATTATGTCCATCATATGAATTATTAATATTCCCAATTTCCAGTAAAAAGTTAATGTGGTCTTGATTGATATTTTCTGGAAGCGGTGGTTCGGGTTCATTCATTTGACTAGCCAAATTATGCAATGTGGCTGTAGCGACTATATAACTGACAAAGTTCTCTGTACAATCATTCTCATTCCCAAGGCCAAGCAAGGGAACCTTCTCTTCCACACACCAATAACTCTTTCTACAATATTTCTGGTTGTATTGAATGACTGGTTATATTTTCTTTCTTGATATGTTGTGGGTTCAGCCAATGGGGTTAAAAAATATTTTTTTAATCCATATCCACCATCGCCTTAAACAAAAAAATTAATTTACCTATAAAAAGATCCCTTTTTTTATTCAAACTGTTATTTCTTTTTTTTTGCTGCATAATGAAAACCTCAAGCCATATTTTTAAAGAAAGGATGCCAGATACCTATCATATTCTGATTTAAATTAAAATATATCTACTATTTTCTTTAAGAATATGACTAGAGTAGTGTGAATTAGTTTTTTGCCTCATTTTATTAGTTCTCATGGTAAAGTAATGAATTTTTCTCAAAATTCGACTTACCTAACAATAAAGCATTTCCATATTGTCCCGTTTCAAATATTCTTCTCACTGAGCTATTTAAAAACATAGTTACATCATGAACAGATCCTGGCCAGCGTGAAACAATATGTATAATTTTCATGTCAGCATTACAAGTCACTTGCACATTCATTGAAAAATAATTCTTACGATTCCTAAAAATTTCAGGATCATCACCACCTAAAAAATACATACAATTATTGTTACTTGTGGTATTTACCTACTATTGGGGTCATAGGATAGGTATTTAAAGTGAAATATCTTACCAGGTGGCAATATTCTAATGTGTGTACCATCTACTACTCCAATGACACGTGGAAATCTAGCTATTCTATAAAATTTTAATTGTTAATCAATAACTTGTTCACGTGTAGGCATCTTTATTAAGTGTCTGGTAACTCTATTGCATATAGAATTAGTTACCCTATAAATAATTCTGCACGCTGTAGATCTGTCCATTCCGGAAAAATCCGCTATTGTCAACTGATGACTTCCTGTTGCATAAAAACGAAGGCAGGCCAAAAGTTGGTTCATGGGAGAAACACTGTTGTTTCTACTGTTCTAAATTAGTGTGTAGGTTGTAACTTACTTATTAGTAGCATATAGCAATACTGTTTGTTTATAGAGTCTAAAATGTCGAAAAAATGTAAATTCATCATATGTTTCAAACAAATTTGATCTACTATGTCTTCTCCTAGGAAACCCGAAGTCAATGATTTCCAGTAATTCCATGTCATCTTCGAATAAATCCTCATCTTCAAGATCTAACATATTTAAATCCATTTTATAAATTATTTTTCACAACTACTTTGCACACTTTGCGTCAAACAATAATAATAAAAGATAAATACGAAAAGGAAGGTTAGAATTGTAATGACAAATGACATATAAATAAAAAATTAACGTAATTCATACTTTAATCCCTCAATTCTGAAGGATTGTTTTAATCATGTATTAAATGTACTTAAAGCTAGATTAAAACACGGTGCAACCCAAATTAACATTTTAATCCTTGATTAAAGTATAATCCAGGGTTAAAACTTCGGCGTACTCGGCTGATAAAAATAGAACTTATTGATTCGGGTATTGATGTAGATTCTGTTTTCAATATTATTGAAGCTGCGAAAGGAAAATTAAATCGCAGCCCTACCAAAATTACACACAATTCTGCTGTTTTGGAAACTGTTCCAAATATGAATGATCCGGAGATTGAAATTGAAAGTTTTTTCCGACTGCTAATAGCAGTGTATTATCTGAGTTACTTCAAGAAAATGAAAATAAAAATTTTCCGATTTTGGATACATATACATTATTGAACAATTTAGATAGTACTACGGTAGGTAAAATGCAATTGGAGGCATTTGGCGAAAATTGCATTTTATTTCCAGTTCACGATAAAGATAACCAACAAAATCAAGTCCTGGAAAATTGTCAGCTCTTTCATACAACTGCACCACTTATAGAAAATAATTTGAGTAATAATACCGAAATTCCAGTCCATAGTGGTGAAAATAATGAGGCAATGAAAAACAAAGAAAACAACTGTCCAAAACTCAACATTTTATCCGTCGTCCTAATTAACCCTCAACGGATTTCACCAGTCATGAAAAAACACTTAAAAATTCCGTCTCCGATCAAAAAATAATCAAATCCGAAATCAATAAATCGCATCTGTGTAGTATCTTCAGAAGAATGGAAAAATATTGAAAAGCATAAAGAAGAAAAGCAGAAAAAAATTGATATTTCATTAAGAAAACAGCAAAGATTAAATCTTAAAAAGAAAAATGAAGAAGCAGCTATTAAAAGAAAAGAAGAAGCTAGTAAAAGTGTAATAAAGGAATATCAGTTCGATGAACTTCAATAGGTTATTTCATTATATTTTACATTTTATTAAAATAATAATTAGTTGTTATCCAATACAAATAATGCAATGTCATTAATTCTAAAGTTCATTGTGTCCAATTCTGTTTAGCTAGCAAATGATCTATTGAAGCGATATTTGACTGTTAGTTATTGAGTAGTATTTAATTAACCTTATAATACACATGTAAAAAAGGTATATAATTTTATTATGTAATAAAGGGCTGGTATAAACTTAATCAAATGTTTTAGTCTACAAATGCTAAAATTAAGGAAAAGAACCTAGAATTATTACATGGCGATCCTGCCAGCCCTTAATAATAAAAAGTAGTTTTTTTTTATCGCAAGATATTCAATAGTAACACAAAATGTGCAACTCAAAAGTTAATACAAGAGAGGATATTCAGATTCAAGCTGCAGGAACTGGTTCGAACAATGCTTCCCAGGTAAACTCAAATACTTTTACACGTACTGATTGGATGCTGTTGGCTTTAATTTTGTTGGTTGTTGCTGCGATTTTATATTTTGTAATCCAAAAAATACGAAGAAATGTAAAGTCATCAGTAAGGAAGCAAATCCAGATGCATGAATGGAAGAAATCCCGTGATCAGCTCAACGATGAAAACTAAATAAGTATTTTGTGGTAATGTAGCTATGTAGTGTAAAAACAAAAATTAAGTGTTTAATGAGTGACGAAGAAAAATTTCTCTGTGAATTTCGAGCTTTCGAAGAAGAAATTGTTAAATTCGAAACTAATTTGACTAAGGACCGTATTGAAAAACAAAAGGACAAAAATAACACCGAGCGTCGGATAAAAAGGTTAGATACTTATAGAATAGGTTTTTTAGATTTAAAATCACGATTTAATAATAAAAGTATTTCATCAAATTTTATATGTAAAATTTCAGTTTATGCAGAAAAGATAGAACAATTCATTAAAAAATGTAATGATATTTTAGAAGAAAGATAAAAAAAACAGGATAGGGAAATCTGCAATTACAATTTAATGATGGATATTTATTACTAAATTCACCAAATGTTGAACTAGGCCAATTTTTTATTGACAGTGTCGAGAATAGTTCCAATCCAGATAATATTGTAAATTTTTTACCAATTAATATGGTAATTTTGACTTTAATGCGGCTGCTAGCTTGTTGCCAAAATTAAATTCTAGCGATTCTGAGTCAGTTTATAACTTAATAGAAGGTATCCAGCTTTATGAACCCTCTTTAAATCAAATTGGTAAACCCCTTTTGATTCATTATATTTTAAAAGCTTGCATTTCACATAAAGATAGCATTCGTATGAAAAAAAGTTATGATAACACAGTAGAATTAATTAGTGACCTTAAAAAACAATTTTTACCTAGGCAGTCTTCAACTGCTTTGGCTGCTAAATTTACTACTCAAGGCGAGATGGATATCGAGAAATATGGTAGAAAAATTGAAGAGTTAATGTCTCAACTCACTATTGCACAGACTGGTAATAATGATAATGCTTTGCCAATATTTCAAACAGAAAATGAAAAAATAGCTGTTGATGTGTTTGCAAGGGGAATACGAAACACAGAATTGCGTACTATAGTTAAAGCAGGTCGCTACAGAACATTAAACGAAGCTATAAAAGCGGCTAAAGATGAGGTATTTATTTCAAAACAAACTTCAACCATTTACCACATGCAAATTGGTATTAGTAACAATTTTCAAGCTAATAAATTTAGAGGCACCAACAATAGAAGCCATTAATTTTAGAGGTAATAAGAATAATAGGTATAATACGAATAGTAGTGGTAGATATAACAATAATTCAAATAACCATTATTATTCTAGAAAATATAACTACCAAGGTTCTCGTCCAGCTCGAAGAAGGAATAATTATTTTAGAAATAGTAGAAATTATCGTGGAGTAAATCGTCCAGTTTATACAGCAGTGTAACGTGAATCAACTTCGGGTGCTGGGGGTATCAATGAACCAAACTCATCTCAAACTCAAACGTTTTTTCGTGCCTCCCCGGCAAATAACTAATTATAATAATATTAATCAATCTACGGTACAGTACAAGTATAATCTACAGTACGTTCAAATGACCTATGGTAACAGAATAGTTCGATTTTTATTAGATATCGGAGCTTCTATAAGCGCATTTTTTATGAACAAAATAAATAAAAACTTGCAAAGAATAGATTACTCAAATATTGTTAACATAGACGGCATTTCAGGTTCGAAAAAATCATGTGGAAGTGCTCAGATTACCTTAAACGTTAATGGAGGTCAGTTTTGTCATGACTTTGTTTTGATTAATTCATTTAATGAAAACATTGATGGTATTTTAGGAGCAGACTTTTTTGAAA